TGTTCGAGTAACTCTCCAAAAGACAGGAATTGAATGAAACCGGTCAGATTGGCCAGCATTATTTCAGAAAATGTGGCTTTCACACACCTTACACTCTTAAGGTAATGAGCATCTATTTATAGAAAAGTATTTATACAACAGAGCTTGCAGAGTTGTAACTCTGAATGCAGAGTTTGCATTCAGTTCAATCAGCAATTGGGTTATCAGATAGAGTAGCAGCTTAAAGATCACACGTGGTCGTAAAGGCTTGCATTTCATTTCATTTGAGCATGTTTGATTTTTTTTTACTTGCTCATTTTTAGCAGGATTTGCTGGGAACTATGTTTTGTGGCAATGAATTAGAGGGATCATTTCATTTGGCTTTGTAATGTAAGCTGCTTTCTGTATATAAACCAGCCTCTTCAGCAATAGCTTTTAGGAAATACAGACAAGCCCTTTCTGGTATTGCTATTACTGTAGGACTGTCTGCTCTCTGAGTGATTTTCTACCTGTGTCTTGGATATTAAAAAGAAAAATTTCTTCAGTTGTTAAAAAAAATAATAAAATCAGTCAGGTTGGCCAGCATTATTTTATAAAATATGACTTTCACATACTTTCCTTTATCAAGGTAATGACCATCTGTTTTTAGCAAAGCATTTGTACAACAGGGATCTTTGCTTTCAGTTAGAGAACAGTGTTACTGTAATGAAATTAACATATAATTAACATATAATTAACATATAATGTTGCAGTTAACCTGAATATAAACAAAGTATTTATTTGTGATAGAGTCCATTCAGTAAATACTATCTCTTCATCTCCTTTTAGATGCTTGCCAGGTACATAATATAATAATATGCAGTAGTATGACACTTCCTCTATCTCTATCTTTATATGGTTTTGTGTAATGGTAGCAGAGCGATGGCTCTTTGGATCCTGCATTGCCAGTAAGTTATCTAATGGGCAACTTAGGCCGTCCTTCCGCCAAACACGTTCATGTATGTGTGAAGTCTCCTTGACTTCATGAAGATGTCAGGGCACCCTGACACGCGTTGTTGAATCGGGGAGCATGATAGTAAATCGTAAACACAGTGAGCAGGGGAGGACAGGACAAACTCTGAATATCTTGCTCAGAAGGAAATCTTGTATGTACATATATACACCCACTACAGAATATTTTATAGATATTATATACTCAATATATTATATAAGCTATGAGGGTAAACTGAACAATCTTAGGTTTTAACTCTATGAATTAGGAAGTGATATAGGAAAAATCTATTTTAAGTTCTGCCTGTAAAATAGTTCTTTTAACCAAACTTCATTACACTTTTAAAAAGAAAACCAGTCTCTTTGAACTGTTCAGTGGTGGGGATTCATTTAGGTAATACTCAGATCCTGAAAATCAGACCTAAGCCACTGATTAAGAAGCCAACAATAACTCATTCAGAAAAGCTCCTAACATGAATCATACCTTGGTTGAATTGATCTGAACGTTTCAGACAAGTACACTCTGTTAAAAATTAGATCCTACTATGGCTGATGACTCCACTTACTTGATAATACTGATGTTTGCTTTCCAGAAATGTGTGCTATATTGGCCAGAAAAAAGAGGAATCTATGGGAAGGTTGAAGTCCTTGTTAACAGCGTGAAAGAATGTGAGAACTATACTGTCCGCCAGCTCACAATAAAGGTAACGATCTGTATCTGCTGCGAAGCACTGTTCTCAGGCTTTCTTTTCCAGTGTTAAAGGAAGTTAAGTGCTTCTTGAAATGGTCATGAATTTTTTCGGAAGGAATAACTGAGCTGTGAGGCTTACAGCTGAAAGGTGCAATTGAGACCAAAGCTGTGGAACTTGCCCTGTTGCTGCTTTGTATCACTCTGGCAATAAAAGATTTCAAAAAGCGTGTGTCACCTTTTAAATTACATTTGCTTTGAGGCCCGTTTAAAATTGCCAAAGCAATGTAAAGGGATTTTAGTTTAATGAAAGGACTAGTGAAGGTAGCATCGTTCAAAAAAGATAAGCTGCTCATGTCATGTGTTGAGTGCATCCATAAGCCCATTCAAAAAGCTAAAAATATAACATATACATAAAAAAAGCTTCATGCTTCGAGCTTGATGGTTCTGGCTAAACACTAACTGTGCAGAATAAGGCAGATGCTCCTTTGTGAGTTTCTTCATAATTCTTCAATTCCTTGACATTGCAATAAATAATGACTGGGGAAATTTTGTTTGATGTTTCAGTCCAGGCAGGGAAAAGTAATTAGAAGCCACATTGCCTGGATTAGAAGTGTGCAGATTACTCTGGTCTACATATAACCCCCTTGCTTGCTGAAGTTTAGTGGTAGCAGCCTCTGTTGGAGAGAATCACAAGAGGAACTGGCATGTTAAACTGATTTAGCAGGGCAGTTCTTCTGCAGCTTTACCTTGCATGCTCTTCTAATTTTAGTATGAGACTCGCATGGCAATGTCATTAAAAAGACAGCAGAAACATGAAAAAAAAAAAAAGAGATAATCAGAGGCCCAAATTAAGGCCATTTCTCTTAGTCCCATTTTTGAGCTAACAGAAGTCTCTGACAATTTCTAGCTTACCACAAAGCAGGGCAATAATCAAATGGACAGAATAGAACTTATATAGTAGGAAAACACAGATAATTTTTCTTTTTAGAATCCTGTCCCTGGAAGCATACTTGTTTTCCCCATTTATATCAATCACTCTAATTAACAAAATTTTCTCTGAACATTTTTACTGGCTTTTTGCCATAACATAGAGAGAAATAAAAAGGCTTGCTCACCACAAGTGTGCATATAAAATCTTAATGTTATTTTCAGCAAGGGAGCCAGTCCCAGAGTGTGAAACACTATTGGTACACATCCTGGCCGGACCACAAAACCCCAGACAGTGCTCAGCCCCTTCTGCAGCTCATGCTGGACGTAGAAGAGGACAGGATGGAATCGCCTGGCAGAGGGCCTGTAATTGTGCACTGCAGGTAATTTGAAAACATTTCCTTAAATGTCTACCTAAAGCAAGGCCACAGAAAACTGCATCAAACTGTCCTTCCCCTAACCAAAGAACGTGTTTTGGGAAAAGGAAAGTTCCCCGTAGAAAAATCCCCTCAATGACAATTGCTTTTTTCAGTTTCTGTTCAAGGATTTGAGTTTTTGAGGTAATTCCCTAATTGCTTCCAAATTGTTTCTGAACCAGTCTTGGTGTCTGCTTATGTGTTCTGTCAGTGTTTGAAAGACCAGCTAGAAAAACAAAAGACTTTGCTTATGTTTCTTTTTCACAGTTTCCTTTCTTTATGACCCTGTACCTTAATGACATGTTCAAGTTAGATGCTCTGCTCTGTGATTGACTAAAATGTCCTAAGTCAGTCAATAGTAAACAACAGACATCAGGTACAAATATGGAGACCAAAACACATCAGTACTGAAGTTTGGGAACATTTTCACAAAGGCAGTGGCTTTAATACTCAAGAGCAAGGTGTTATTAAGTACTTAAGAGCAGAGTGTTATTCAAAGAAATGACAATGAACTAGAGATTGCACTTCTAATCACTCAAAATTAAGTACTATTTTATTGATTAATTGGGTCACGTCATAATCTGAGTAGTAGGCAGCAGTCCTGGGTTTGTTTTATTTTTGCTTCACAAGTAACTGAGGCAGAACAGAAGGGAAAAAAAAAAGGAATCAGTATTTCCTGGCTTTTACTGGCTTTCTCTCATAATCATGATACATCTCTTACAGTTGGGAGAGTACTTTTATTTTTTTCCAAATGTACATCAAAACAAAGACTTCTGATCTTGAGCCACTCCTTTTTAAATCTGTATTTAGGAGATTTAGAGAAGTGGAAGACCAATTTCAACTACCCATCATTTTGCAAAACCAAAGCGTGATGGATAAGGAACTTCCCCAAACTTTATCCAGTTGTTTTCATCTGGAATCGTAGTTTTATTAAACAATCCACAAATTCATGGATGGCCACAGAGATTCCCATTTTTCACATTATTTTCAATAATGGGAGTTTCAGAGGAATGGGATATCTTTCTGGGATGGATAATGTGACAACAGTCTTTAACCACTAGCAGGAATTTATTCACGATTAAAGACTCAGCTGCCAACTCAGTCATGATTAAAATTAACACAGTTCTCTGGGGACAGCTCAGCTACACTTACTACCCTATGGTCTACAAAGAAGATGAACTCACTCTTGCTCCATTTTCTATCAATAGTGTCCTCTATTTCAACCTGAAGAGATCAGCCAGGTCTCATAATGCCAGTGTAAATTTTTAAATTCAGGCCTCAGATGAAAATGAACAATTCTCAGTTGTTTCCAGAAGATCATTATAGTGCACGTCCAATCGAGATCCTTTAAGAATCTTTAAAAATGAGAGTTATGATACAAGTGGAAAAACTGAGTGTGTGTGTCTTCTTGTAGCCTGTCAGCATTGGATGCTGCTATATCCTTCAGTAATTAGTTGATTCAGGGTACAGTATACAAGAATCTATTTCTTTTAGCAAAGCAGTTTCTGTTCTGCAGATGCATGGAAAAAGAGTAAATCTCTGTCTTCATGCTTGAGGCCAGCAGAACCAGCTCTGTCCTTGACGGTCTTTATAGCACTATAGTACCAAAAAGGCTCTATCATGTCACTAAAGTGTGCGGTAAACTGGAAGTATCTCCTCAATATAGTTTGGATATGTAGTTACAAAATAAATTTGGTTTGATACCAACTAGGTGGTTTGGGACCAAATATATATACTAATTAATAGATTCCAAATATAGAGAGAAAGCATTTTTTCTTTAATTTGAATGAATAAGGAAGAACTAGAAACACAGGACTGTATTCTGTCAATGTGAAACTAAATTAGCCCTATTTAGTTAATGAAACCAAGCTGACTGAGAATCTGGCACACAATGCAACACATATTTTGTACCAAAGGTATTTTCCTCTTCCTAGAAGAAGCAATGATTTTGCATATAAATTGGAGTACTTACATGCATTTTTTAAATGAGAATGGGAAATAAATTTGCCATGCTTGGAAACTTGACAGTATTATTCCTACTGCTAGAAACTTTCTTTCCTCACCAGCTACACTCAGCGTGTGCATATGTTCTAGAAAAAAAATGGCACTTCCTATTATCTTTTAATCCCCTTAAAGTCCAATATCCTACACTCCAAATTAACAGATCAGAGCTATTATGTTACACCTTAAAAAAAAAGGAAGAAAAAAAAACGAGAAATATTGTGTTGCTTTTTGCAAATCCCTCTTTATAAAGTATTTCCTTATCTTTTTGTATACATTTATCCCAAAGATAATAATGTATAAGGAGACAAGTTATCAAATCAGGAGCTTCAAATCACTGGATGTTTTCTTACACTGCCAATTTTACTTCTCATTATCCCCTCATTGGCAGGTAGCATTCATACACATTGCACAGATGGAGAAAGCAAGACACCAAATGGTTAAATATTTCATCTAAAGCCAGGCATATAGATCTGGGCTCTTGACTCTGCTTTAACTAGTAGCCCTACATTGTCATGTCCTGTAGCATAATGAAGAAGAGATTGTGTTGAATTCCACATAGCTGAAGCAAGAGAGAGGAGTCACAGATTCTCAAAGGTGCCCGAGGCTCAGGGAGTAAAGATAATGCCAAAATGGCAGTTTCCAAACAAGCATCAAGAAAATCTATAGAGCTGTAGCATCTAATGCTTTTCCTTTCTGAAGAATCATAAGAGAGGAGGTCACTCCATCATTATGGTCTTGGTCCTTTTTACCTTCATGGTTAGAGGGACAAGTAGCTTTTAGGGTTCACAAATAAGCCACAACAGTTGGACTGCTGGAGTATGATAGCCTTTCATTTCTCTCTAAAAGAGTGAGCTGAGAAGTTACACTTGCTAGACATGTACATAGGAATGGTTGCTTCTAGCAACTTCATTTTTTCATATTCTTAATGTTTTCCACTTGACTCTTTGATCTGTGAGCTCCATTTACGTGTTCAATTTGCCTTTTTTCAGTGCTGGCATAGGAAGAACTGGATGTTTTATTGCCACCACCATCGGTTGTCACCAGTTGAAGGAAGAGGGAGTTGTAGATGCACTGAGCATTGTCTGTCAGCTACGAGTGGATAGGTGAGTTCCAGAAGAACCATAAATCAGTCAAGTAACATGAGTTTCTTTAAAATGGCACTGGATAAATTGAGGTCTCGCATAGTTGTACGCACTAGCTTCACATAACAAAAGTCTTCCACATCCTTCTTGGAAAGCGCCTTGCAGCTGGTACAGTATTTGAAACATGCTACAAAAGGCAGGAAGTACACAGGAGCTCAAGATCTTGAGGAAAAAAGAAAAAAAAGATAGTAATCAAAATTAAATATTCAAATTGCTAAATTGTCTTACCCAGGAAGACTTAATAATTGCAGATAACGGTATGTTGGATTTTCCTGTGGATTCAAAGCAGAACTACTGCCCTGCATATGTCTTTATTTATACTTTATGATGATACATGTGTTTTAAGAGTAGTTTTAGAGCTGAAATGTGTACTGTTACTAGAGTTTCCCATGTGATTTGATTATCTTATATTGCAGTTGTTGATTCAAAGTGAGTCCTTAGCTGACTGAACATTTGTCAGTGGATTACATCAGAGTAGGGCATTCTTTGAAGGACGAAGAACTTATTGAACAGTACTTATGTTATCTAGATACTAGAGAGTGGGGGAAGGAAACACAACCACAGTAACACTCAGACTTTGAAGGTTCTTATGTTAAGTTGCTGAAGTGTCATTTTGGATGAGTGGCACTTGGTGCCCAAAGAGTAGGGGGGGTGTTGTGCTGGGGAAGACCATTCAGAGGACAAGAAGTACCCAGCAGACTCCTTGTCCAAGGACAGACTGAGCCTGGCTTCCTTTTCAGTAGTGACTCTGAAACCCATTTCACAGAAGTTTGAATATTACTTTACATGAAGTAACTGGCATAATTTTTGGTAACTGGTATAAAAGCATTAGTTGAATATTCAAAATAGCATTTGTATTTAGGTCCTGATTAAGGAGTATTGTTTTCCGGATGAAACTGGATGAGACTTCCCTAAGTGAAATTCTTCTGAGATGGGAGTCCTACAGTTGCAAAGCATTTGGCACCCACCTCATCCCATCCGGGAGCTTTCTGCAGTTTCTGACATGCCACTAGGACACAGCAACACAGGGCAATCCAGAGACAAGGAATTGTCTTTAAGCCTGGATTGAAGGGGACATTCCCACTTACACAGTGTATAGTTTCTTCACAAAACAGAGAGCCAAATCTAGTGTTATTGCTACTGCCTCAGTTGTGCTGAGGCTTCTTTTGAATTGGTTTGGCAAATGTATCCAGCTTAAGAAAAGTTGGATAAACAAGGCATTTTTGCAATTTTTTCTTAAGTCAAGATCAATTCCCAGATTGAATTCACAGCTTGGGAGCAGGAACACAGTAAGCCAGCATTGTTGCAGAGTGCTTTGTTTTGTGAAACCAGGGCTGAAGAGAGATTTGTGTTGGAAAGGAGGATGTGGGTATTGTGCATAATGGAAGTGGCTGGTTTGGTTATGATTTTCTTTATTTCTCTGCTCAGGGAGACAGAATTTTGTACAAATAAACAGGGTTGCACCACGAGTAGAGAACCCTTGGTCCTCTTCTGCTGTAGGCAGCAGGTCATGTAACCTCCTGATATACATACATACTCCTTTCAAGTATATCAGCTCTTTCTGATGTACGTTTCTTCTTTAAATGGAACCAACCAGTAGGCAATGTGAAAGTGATGAAAAAGTTGCTCAGGCCAAAGGGGCAGATCGGGAATTCATGTGCTCTCAGTTCTGAAAACTACTGGAACAAAGAACTGCAGAATCCCTGTGGCTGACCATGTTTATGCATCACCTTCTCTATCCTTCCCCTGCCACCTCTCTGTCATCATTGAAGTCTGAGCCTTTTCAGGCAGTGTAAGCAGCCTGGAGTGTAAAATTCTCCAGTGAGAATTCCTGACCTAAGATCTCAGCAACAAAAAAATGGAACAACCGAGGGAAAAATGCCTCCTCTGCTTTACATTATCTACTCCAAATTTCCAAATCTCCATTCTGATGGTTTAAAAAGGTGTGCAGTGTTCCAAGTCTCCATTAAGAAGTCTGATTGATTGTTCCAAGCCTCCATTTTACCTTGCTTAAAAAGATGTGCAGTGTTCTCCCTCATCTTCGTGTTTCTGTTATAACATTTTTCTTCTTGCTCTTTTTTACACTCTGTGTAGAGAAGTGGAAGCAAGTTCTGCTCTCAGCTGCATCAAGTTCATGTCATTAATTCCTGTGTAGAAGAAAAGATCTCAATTTGCGGCACTATAACTGACAACAGACCAAATATCTAGTATTTCTGATTAATAAACTTTTTTTTATGTGTAAGAATCCCAGAAAAACTTGGAAAGAGAATGAAATAATCCAAATGCAAACATTTACCATAGTAATCTCAATGACACAAAGCTTGCTTTAAAAAATTGTAGTCTTGTGATTTTGTACAGTTCTGTATTTTTTCTAGCTTCACACTTCATCAATAGACTACACAGATCTTGCTGCAGATTTCTCACCTCTTCATTTTTTTCAGGAATTATCTGAGATCTAAAAAAAAAACCCTTTTTTATTTTTAAAGATATTTTTTCTGGGAAAAAAATAGTAACCAAACACTTTTTCTTTCTATATTTTGGTCTACCTCACCTGGCATCTAGTTTATAGCAGAGATTATTAAAGCAGAGCTTAGCATTACCTAAGACTACAGTCCAGGCACCACCAGTCCAGCCAGGCCTTGGGTTCCTGCAGTGACCAGGCACCACTGCAACACACACAAAGCTCCATGAGGCCACCTTTGCCTGACAACGGAGTCCTGGCATGAGAGTACCGGCAGGTGGCACAAAGCTGGCAAAATTAACTGAATATCCCTCCGGGCTTGACAACAAGAGCTGGCTCTGGATGTAGTTGTCCAGAGCAGAAGCAGAGATGAGGACTCCTTCCTCATAACACAGCTGAGCTGCCATTTTCCTTCGTACCTCAGACTGCCCTTGCAAAACAAAACAAGAGAGAATTCAGCAGAAAAGGCTGGGTTTATCTGACTACCTGGAAGCCAGAAGCTTGCTCAAGAGGTGCACTCAGTCATTTTTATTTCTCTGATACCTTGTCTGCACTTAATGCCCTGCCAGACTTGCTGCACCATCCAAGCCAGGCCTAGTGGTGGAGTAACCACAGTTGATGGTCTCCACTTGTGTGTGCACTTCTTCCCTTGTGGGCCAACAACCTAGTTGCTACCAAAGTGAATTAAATTGATCATTTAAGAGAGAGGAAAATAGATTAGTGTTAGAGAAACTCACCCCTTGGTGTAGACCAAGGGGTGCTGTAGGGATTCGGCAAACCATTCCCATTGAGTAGCGTGTTTGTTGAGAAACAAGCAAGCATCCAAGCAAATTGTAGATGGTAGTCAAAATTTATGCTGAAAATAATCCGCAAGCCAAGAACTGAAAACTAGAATAACCATCTGCCCCTCTAGAGATCCAAGCCCTCTTCTTCATAGCTTTTCAGTGTAAGTTATGAAGCTGGCAAGGAGTGAAAGGATCTGGCAGCAGTTGTCTGTGCTGAGCTAACATGAGGAAATGGACCATCCACTCAAAAACTTGACCCAGGATGGAGATAAAGCCATACTCTGCATGGCTTCACAGAGAGACAGACCGTCAGCTCTTCACAACTTTATTTTTTTCAGTTCATTTTTTATGTTTTGCAAGAGAAACAGGAAACATTTGATGTGAGGCATCTTCAAAATTTACTCTGATATCGAGAAATTTTGCACATTCTTAACCTTAAAGGCACATTCTTGGAATGACGTCCGATAACTTTGCTTTTGGCTCCTCAGACAGGATGAAAAGAGTTTCCAGTGTGCGTCAATGCATTGTTTAAGTGTTTTGACTAATCACTTCAGGTTAAAAAAAAACCCCACCGACCCGGCATCGCATTGGTTGTGGAGCAGCCTGCATGCAGCCGCAGCAGCAGCAGCCACCCAGAGGCCCGGAGAGCCCAAGCAAGCAGGGGCTCCCGGAGGAGGCAGCGGTGGCGGCTGCCAGCGGGAATGCGGCTCACCCGGAGCAGCGGCTGGGGGTACATCCCTTCTGGGCACGAGGGACGCGGGAGAGGAAGCCTCCCCTTGAGCAGATTTCCTCCTGAAATGCTCTTCCATGCAGCCTTTTGCACAAAGTCGTGCCTTAAGATCACAGGCAATTCCTTTCTATTAAATATGACCCTTACACAAGACCAAAGGGATACGTCCCATGCACAATAGGACTGACAAGGTCAAATTGTCTGAATCGCTGTCGGCTGAAGACTTGGCAAAAGGCACCTATTCTCTTTACTGATGGGAACAAGAGGCTGGGTGCTCTAGATTGATACAGACATGCCCTGCTTGGATGGCACAGGGTCCAAAGGCAGCATCTGCCAAGGGCAAATGTAGTAATGCTGGACTTGGCCCCACCAGCTTTTATGCAGCTTCTTGGGGATTCTGTGCAGCCTTTGGGCATCCCTAGGATTAAAACTGGCAGAATCAGTGCAGGCAATGCTGCATGCAGCCCAAAACTGGAGTCAAGGAACAGGACTGCAAAATATTCCTTCTTATATTTCTATTTGAAATACTGAAACAATATTGATTTTGAAAAAAGAATGATTTTGATGTGTTCTCCGTCTAGGTAGTTGACAACTTTAGGACTAATAAGAGCTAGTTTAGCTACTTTAACGAAGGGCTACTAAAGGATGGTAACAGCAATTTCTCTTTCTTTCTTCCCAGAAAGTAGGAGAAGGCTCTTTAGTTTTTGTGTGTTTGTTTGGGAGAGCACTGTGTCTCCTTTGGGAGTGAGTTGCACAGCCCAGGATAAGCACTGGAGAGGAATGTGGCTGCAGCCTCTCCTTATGCTCCAGTGGAATTCTGTTGTGGTAGAGACCAGGATTATCACAAAAGAGGGAAGAGGAAGAGTCACCCCGCAAACAGCCCCACAAGGCACAGCTCACACTTGTTCTGCATTTCCTTCCCCGAGCTTCTCCCTGGATACATTCCCTTCCTCCATCCCTTTTATGCAGCAGATGTCAAAGTGGGAAATGCATAACCTTAAGGAGAAGGTTCATGGTGGGATGCAGAGAGTGAGACTGGGTGGGCAAGGGTGGCTTGGGCAGGACGGTGCAAGTGGGAGGCAGGAAGAAGGCCAAGCAGCATTGAGGACCAGAGCAAAACCTTCCCTTTGCCTTTCCAACTCTTGCTGGATTTCCAGGGCAGGAGGCAGGCGCTGAGGAGAAGCAGTCGGTAGTCAAGTCATTAACTGGTCGATGTCTTTGTTGACAAAGCAAAGAAGCTGCTGCATTTTGCACCAGTTAAACCACTTCTGGACCTGTGATTTAATTCCTAGGGATAAGAGATCATAGTGAGCATGCAGCTCCTTAAAGGGTGTTTTACAGTTCCCTGAGCTCACTGGTGGAGCAGAGACAGATCATCACTTGCTTATAGAAGTAGGTTTTATTTTAGTTATACTTTTTTGCTACCATTTGACTATCGATTAGCACCTTGGAAAATACTTGTTGAAGCGGTTTTACCATTGTTTGTCCAGCTCTGTATGTCAGACCAAGATTTTGTTGCTACCATTGTTTGTCCAGCTCTGTATGTCAGTCAGACCAAGATTTTGTTGCTGTTGTGTCTGACGTGATCACACGGAGGTCTGTCAGATGTTCTCCAGAGGGATGCCTGTCTTCATTGCTCATGATCCATAGCCTTCACTGGCTACTGAAGTCAGATGCAATGCCTATCTTAAAGTCATCCCTGCCACTAAAGCTGTTTCCTTTCTCATCCCTGAAAAGCTAGCTACCTGTTCCAGTGCAAGCTGGGCATCAACCGAGGGGCTGTTCCTAGAAGCAGAGCATGCTGCTTTTAATACCCTGGCAAATTAGGTAATTAAAATGCAATTAAGTAAACTGAGTCCTCACCCCATGAGAAATGAGACCTGAAGGATCCAACTACTGTCAGAAAAAGTCTCAGTTTAATTTCAGAACTGAAAGGTGCTGGTCCTACTACATATTGCACCATGCTCCCTTTCCTGTAGGACATCATCCCCTTCCTGCCACACTGCAACTGACGCTGAAAATGTGGGACTTTGTCCTTATAATTTGACCCGAATAAAAGGATGTATTAAATGTAGGCATCTAATCCAAACTGGCTGTAACTGATTCTTTTTATGGTCAAGTTAAACTCTTTTGTATTGTTAGTGTGAAATGAGTCATTGCTGTAAAATTTCTTAGGTGGCTGCTGTTCAGACAGGATGCATTGTAGGCGTTAGAAAGAGGACAGGAAAAGCTGTTCTCTGTGCTTGCGATCTGAGGGTCACCGAAGGTTACATTTTTAGTAAAGGACAAGAATGAAGGGCCAGATTCAGAATACTGCTTTGCCCCGTCTCTAGCAATGCTGATTCCATGCATCTGGCCCTCCATGTCCTAGAGACAGTAAAATTCACCCAGTGTTGAATTTAAAAGGTTGATTTTAACTATGTAGATGACATGTTTTTCTTTATAGTTCTTATCCTAACAAAATCAGGAACTTCATGCTATATGTGTGCAGGACAGCATAGATTTTGAAGAAAGCACGTTCACTCAAGCAATGTCTTGTTTAATCAGGCAAAGTTTAAGTCAAAAATTGAGAAGAGGCCTTTAATTGAGAAAAGGCCTTGAGAAAAGGCCTGGTGGTGATTGAGTTGGCAGTGGTTGGAGGTTGCATTCTTAAGAAATAACATTTCATTCTCTTGTGTTTCCTTTTCAGGGGCGGAATGGTTCAGACCAGCGAACAGTATGAATTTGTGCACCATGCACTGAGTCTGTATGAAAGCAGACTTTCTGCAGAAGCTGTCCAGTGAAGCCTAGGAGGGTAAAACAGAATGTCAGTCTCTGAGGTAATTTGTTTCATTACCTACCAGCAGCTTCTTCAAGGAGTTTACTGCAGTGGGAAGAGAGGCTTTGAAGGCAGCTTCCAAAAGGCTCGTGGAGAGTTTGGCAAAAGTATAAAGATTGCTGGATCCTTACTGTAAATGAATGTATTGTGAGCTTCCCAAAAATGATTTATAAAGAAGGTACTGTACTGAAACTACACATGGATTTCACATATATATCTAAAGGGGGGTTTAATTCTGTAATACTGGTATCTGCCATATGAAATGTATGTATGTACTACTGCTGCAGTCAGATGGACATTGGAACTTCTAAAGAAGAAATGTTTATCAAGTGTATAAATGCTTTAACGTTTGCAAACTCTGTCTTGTGAATGGACTGTCAACTGTACTGTAAAGTGCTATTATGGATTATGTGGTAGGCTTGTTTCTTGGCCACATAATATTCTTGCTGCTAAAATTGCAAGTGTTCAATTATGGGTTAAAAAAGAAAAAGAAGATGAGATAATAAAAAGTTAAAAGTCTTGTTTTTGAAAATATTCAAAAGCAGTTAATATTTTATATGGAATTATATGTTCTTCATACTATTATCTATTAAATGTATATTTACTGTAGGTCTTACAGAGCAGTTACAGAGCACAATGTCTGTTATTCAGTGTATATGTATTTACCCTATACTGTTGATTGTCTTAGAAGATGCTTCTGCTACAGACCCGAATCCAGTGTATTTTTAAATTGTGTAAGTCATTTTACTTTTAAAAGAAACTTTGTAGCATATATTAAATGGTAAGGATTTTAAATATTTGTCTGTCTTTTATTAATAGGGGATTTTTTGCCTATGTTGTTTTCACTGCTCTGTCTCTTTCAGCAGAGATGGACGCCTCTAGTGATATGAACTGTTTCATGACAGGTTATACAAAGAGGAAAATGCTGCTATGAATGTTTCATTTAATGTTCAGTAGGATTTTTTTTTCCTTAGGAGAAGTAAGAAGTTGGCATTATGACTTACAGCAAGCACTGGGAGGTCTGTTCACAGGGTATAATGAATTTTTAATGCAGTGATGTTGACTTTGCTTCATACTGCTAATAAATTAAACTTGATATAAAATATATATGGACGTCTGTGGTTTTTTTTCCTAGGGTGGCTAATGCCCCCCACACTCTCTTACCCGCATAAGCAGGGGTAGCCCAGTACAATTTGGGTACCTGCATGACGGCTTCAAGCCTTTGGAGAGCCCTGCAGGGCACATGGACAGACTCCTGCTGACACTGAGCAGAGCGGATCGCCTGGTGGGGAGGCAAAGTCAACATCACTTCATCCCTCACAGGGAGGTTGTCCAAGACCTGATACAAAACCAGAGCTTTGCCTCCTCCTCTTCCCCTTCTCCTCCCCGGCTAGACCTGATTTTTAGAACTTGTGGAGTTAGATGAGATACGCTGAGATTCTGCTGTATTACTATAATTACAGAAATGGGCTGTGTTCCCTGGATGACACTTATTCAGCACAACCCACATCACCTGCAGACTCGCCGTATTTCACAGACAACCAGCTACACAGAATTATAATTCTTTCTCTTTAGACTTTATTCCAATAAAGTTTACAAACATTGAATGATTTCTTTTATGTGAGCCGAGTGTCTGAAAACCTCTGTCTCTTGTGCCCGTATTTTTCCAAAATAAAGCAACAAGTAAACCCTGAAGAACCATATGAAAGGACAAAGTGGTGTAAAACTCCCCAAAACAATTGAATAGAAGGAAGTGCTCGTCACTGACTTTTTCCCCCTGTGAAGGCACATTTCCTTCCTAGCCTTCGCTTCACTTATCTGAGGTGGGTTTTTTTTTAAGAGAAGCATGGGCAGTTGCTAGATGGAAAATGGATTCCTTATTTCACGTCCTGGTTTTTACCTGTCTGGCTTTGCCGATCTCAGGTAAGCGTCTCTCCCCACGTCCCCTCCGCCGTGCACCGCTCGCTGCCACCGAGCAGAGCCCTTCAGGGTGGCGGGGGAACTACAAAAATTGATTGAATTCCAAGAGGAATGGGGGGTGGGCAGGGCCAACATAGCCGGTTCTGTTTAGATTGCTTTGCACAGGAAAATAAACCGTCTCGTTATATGCTGGGTATACCTCTCTTTTTTATTATTTATTTTTTCTTAAGATGGTATCCTAGTAGACAATCCAGGAGCTACGGTTTGGGACAAGCTCTTTGAATGAGAGATTATTTTTTTATTCCTATTCTGGGAAAATCCCAGAGTCAGGGGCTTTCTGTATTACTTTGTTAGAAAGTGCCCAGTTCTCTAAAAACTGGCACAGTAGAATTAAACCTACAGAAATACATGTGGGTTATTTAGCATTTTATAGCTAGTAAGTCTGGAAATATTAGAGTAGGTGAATAATAAAATGAGAAAAGCTTAAGTAAAATGTGGCTTTGAGACTGCATGTGAAATATCTGATTATGTGTTCCTTAACAAGTAGGTATTTTGTGCTGGTAACATGTTTTTTGCGGGGGGATGAGTTGTCGTTCTGTTCACCTTGGTGTTTTCTGTTGATGTGTAACTGTAGTAGCACAAAGAATTAATCTGGTGTGAGTTGGGATGATCCCCAAACTAGCAGCTAGGGACATTGGAGAGGCGTACTTCCTATCCGTAAAGAGCCGCCATTCTTGTTAAAGCACAGACACCAAGAGGCACATGGATTTGGGAATGTCCTTTTATATGAGGCACATATATAGATTTGGGAATGTCCTTTGATATGTTTTATTCACAAACACTGTGAGTTTTAATGAAACGGTTTCCAAGCAGTGAATTATATTGAAAAAGGACTGTGTCATGTAACTGAAATAGACAGAGAGCTCTTGTCGATCTCTATATCCTTTCAAGCAAGGGAAATGAGGTTTATAGAAATGGACTTAAAATCAATAGTTCTTGTCTATTAACAACAGTTCCTTTCATATGCAGTTCTTTTTTTTTTCTTCTTTTTCATATATAGTGAAGGTCAAGATGATCTTTATCAACTAAAGTTTCCTTTTAGCATTCTCACTCTTTACGTTATCTTCAGCGAGCACTTGCATCATGTGGGTTGTAAAGGGTTTTTTTAATAGGTTCAACATATGAAAAGTTCAGCTTTTAGAAAATGAAAAGATTTATTTGCCAATATATTTTAAATCATGAGGAATTTGCTATTTTGTTAAACAGTCACATATAATGTATTTCATATATATAAATTTTCCTCTTCCAGAAGGGTTTCTGATTATCCACGTCCAGAAACAGCAGTGTCTTTCAGAAAAGAAAGGAGTCGTTATGGAGAAGTGCAATATGAGCAGCCTCAGCCAGGAGTGGAGGTGGACAGCAGACGACAGGCTCCTCCACGTCCAATCCGGCCAGTGCCTGAGCATCTCCACACGCTCTGCCCTGTCGTCCCGCAGCATCGTCACTAACTGCTCCCAGGCGGTCAGGTGGACCTGCCACGAGGAGGACGGGCTCCTGAAGGTGGCCAACAGCTCGCTCTTCCTCACGAAACAAGGTCAGAAGGTGATGGCCAAGCAGAGTAAGAAATACCTTCACTCGTGGATGCAGCTTGGAGTCAGCGAGACAGGAAAACTTGTCTATGTAAATCTGTGCTCCAAGCAAGGTGAGCTAGTCCTTTAAAGAAGTATTTTGGAAGTTTTGGTAACAGCCATGTCTGTTTTGCCCTTGGTCAAGTGCTAAGAAAGATAATAATTTATTCAAATAGGAAGACATTTTTCATAGTCAAAAAAACAGTTAAAGAACCATAAACAGAGCAGCCGGAATGAAAGCTGGTTTTCTGACAATTGGTGGAGTTTTTTAGGCCAATTTATATTTTCAAGATGTCCCTTCTCTGCTCCAGGTCTTTGGATCAAAGTGCTTATCTCTAAGTTCATCTCAGATTCTTGCATCATTTCTTTTTAAATAGAATTGTAGGTACTAAGTCCTATATATGAGCTGATATAAGTCCTTCTCCTCCCTGTTCATTTTATCATAAAAATTCGCTTGCTTTTGCCAACGTGAAAAAGGTGAGAAATATGAAAATCAAATACATGCACAATCATTTCTCTGGTTAACCAAAATGCATGATTAAAAAGGCCACATGGTTGAGTGTTTACGTAGTGTCACAGTGTCAGGTGGAATTTAACTGAGAACATTCAAAATTTTCAGAATAGTGAACTGAAACCAAAATCTCAGAAATGTTTGGAGTAATGCTTTAAGATGTCTGTGTCTGTGCTTATACTTCTAGATTACCCCTGTGCAATGATAGGTTTATATGTATCTGTAAAAAAGAAACAAGGAAGGTAGAATTATTTGAATAATTCTTAATAACTCTTTGCTTGTTGTCATTTTGTGAAACCTTCATGACAAAGCTGTTGGTATTCTAACTACACGCTCTTAAATGATTCTGCAAGGTAAATAAGAACAACCTGAACATTTAAGCTTCAAGGGTGACAGGGAGGATGGCGGCGAGGAAACAGGCGCCCAGGCAGTGTTATTTTCTTTAGCTAGTTGGATAAAGTGTGGCCTAATGGAGTTAAAGGTTGTGTTATTAAGGTTACATCATTTTCTTAATCATCCTCAGAGGAGGAACAGTTTAAGAACAATGAATACTGAGGAAGACAATTAATTACCAACAGGTTGTAAAACTCCTCATCTCTTTACTGTGCTCACTCTTTTAATCGATCTACCTTAATTTTCCTGATATTCTCCCTGTAGATAGACCTGTAGATCTCCTTTAAGCATTTGACTATGTCAATCACGTCTTTTCTGACGTCTCCGGGAAGCTCTCCTGAGAAAACAACAGTACATTATGATGTACTTAAATGCCTAAGAATTGCAGGTATATACCAAAGAAGCTCATGAAGACTAGAAGAAACACAAAGATAAGCATTTTTTTGAATACTTTTAGCTCTTACTCCTACTCTTGAGGTCTACACGTGTCAATATGTTCAGTGCTGAATGCCTAAAATTAGCCTTCAAAGCACATCTGTCTGATTTCAGAAAGCTGAAGTGAATCAGCCTAAAATAACATATTCGATCTATATTTATGTAAGATGATAAAAACTTAGTGAAGTCTTCAGAGCTGAAATAACTGTAAGGTTTTCTACTCTTGAATATCAGCCTATGTTAGTGTAATTTATCCTTTTTTTTCACATTGCTCACAAAAAGTAGTGAAAAGCAAAGAAGTAACTCACTGGATTGCATCCCAATTATCTTATCGGCTCAGATACAGTACAAGCTCCCAATGCAACAAGTGCAACTACATTTTAGAGAGAACCTAATTCAAATGCCAAGTCTGATTATTCTGAACTTGGGACAGGTTTCAGCTTGGATTTATGTTTCAAATTGGCCTTCTGAGATGTATTTTGATTCAAAAATTTTGCTAATTACTCTTTGTGAAAGTCAGGATTTGTTTAAATACATATCCCATCTCCGTTCAATCTGAGATCGCTTTAAATCTAAGGCGCTCTTTTTCACACAAAGACCAGCTTTAATCTGGCAGCTACAGAACTAACATGAAGCAGGACCAAGTTTGGCAAGGCACATAGCTCCCCTGAGGTGCTGAGACTTCAGTTTTCATCAAATGCAGTAGGATATTCTGGATAGAGATAGGAAGAGTCTAAGGGCCTGTTTTTTCAAGGTAGGAAATTATGAAACACTGAACCAAGAAAGCCATGTCTAAAGACAACGTTTCAAGACATCATCAAACAATGCTGGCTCTACTGCACAACCCTGTACCGTTCTAGAGTCCAACCAAAGCGGCCTGGGTGGCTGCTGCAGTGGACTATCTGCTGCCAGCATCAAGATCTCTGTAAGTCCAGGAACAAGGAGAAGGTAGAGCAAGGGAAACAGCGATGAGGAAAACATGGGGGAGTTGAAAGGACAGAAGGCAAGATGACTTGGGAGCGGATGGCACTTGAAGGAATGGAGGAAAGGAAACAGGATTAGGGAGCAAAATAGGGAGTCCAACAGAAATGAAAATTCTGTCCTTTGGAAGACTGGTATGTCTGGGACAGAAGTGGAGTAAATATTACATGTAAATAGATGGGGAATAACAGGGGAACCTTTAGGAAGCTTAACATTTTATTATTTGAGACCGTCTTAGATAATCAGTAATCAGTCTGGAGTGTCCTCACAGTAACAGTTCACCTGGATAAAGCAAGGTTTTGCATGTGGAGAATCCACAGACTTAAGCATTCTCAGGCTCCTACTTTGCATATGGGGTTATTATATATTTGCGTAGGAGTGTTACACACATATTAGCTGTTATAAAGCACAGATAATGTTAGTTTGGAAGGGGAAAAGATCATTGCTATGAGTGAAAACAAGGCAAAAATTCTTGCCCACAAATAAAAATGGTAGAACAAGCCCTGTCTCTTGTGTGTCTGGAAACACCCAACACACCACTAGCACTAATGCTAACATCAATTCTGAGTTGTATATGACATTCTTAAAAGCCTATGTTGTATATGTTGTATATGACATTCTTCTAATGTTTACCCATTAGTCTGGGTAAAACACAGTTTAGAAAATAGAGGCAATGCCATGGATACCCTGAATATTCCCCTTCACCAGCTTCGTTGCCCTCTTTGGACACACTCCAGCACCTCCGTGTCCTTCTTGTAGTGAGGGGCCCCAAACTGAGCACCATGTTCGAGGTGCAGCCTCACCGAGTACAGGGGAACAATCACCTCCCTCGTCCAGTCTGGACGCAGAAAGGGCTATGAATTGTTTTGTAATTATGCTCAGCATTGCATTTCCCTTCTAGCCTATGATAAAGAATAGGACTATCTCTTGAAGTGTTTGTAGCAGCAAAACTCCTTTTTTTTTACTCAGAACTGAGAATTTAATGGCTAAACCCCATTCAAGAGCAAGTCTTCTGTTTTTTTACAAGAGAATGGCTTTATTGCTTAATCTTATGTACCGCACCTTCAGAAGCACAGTAGGATCTACAGCTAATATAGCATCTTTTAATCTTTCGTTTTGTCTTCTCTCTAAAGCCAACAAAACACTAGATGCTACAAATAACCAAAAAATGGCGTTTCCTCCTTTTCTACCCCAGTCTCTGGCCCTCTATCTGCTCTTTCTCATCACCTGCGTTCCATATGGGCTACTCTCTTTGCCTTGTCCCGTTTTAGTCTGCCTAACTTATATCTGAGCCTGAACTTACAGGGGTCATGTCCCATTGCTGACACTTCCATCAACTTCAGTGGCTGAGATGGGGCACAGAAGAGCCCAGAGCAGGACAGACTCACTCTGAATGCCTTCACAGGGCCATGGTAGGAGAAAAGGAGTGCCAGCCATGGGGCCAGCACTCTTCTTGGGGAAGGGGAAGAGCACCAAAGAAAGGCGGCAGGAGCACAGAACTGGCAGCAACTTGACTCCAACCAACCATCACTCTTGCCCAGGCAGCCCTGTACCTCACCCTGCTCAGGCTAGGAGAGGACAATGTCCTCCTCATGGGGCAGCAATTCTATTATTTGTGCAGGAGAAGTCTAAGAAGTAGGGCGAGGAAGGGAGTGAGAGACAGGGACCAACAGACATCTTGTCCAAGATGTCAAAATATCCTGTTGGTTGTTATTTTTCCCCTTTCCCTCCACCCTTTTCACCCAGATAAAGTAAAAGTTGCAGTTCTGGGCTTTGTCATAGCCTGCGCCTTTCCCCATCCCTTTTTACAGAGGTCTTCTCCATCTTCCTTGGCATAGGGAACAGTTGGGATGGAAGGTGCTCCAGATTGTGAGAGGCACAAGATGGATGATGTTGCAGTAGTTAATTAGCCACAGGAGGCACTCAGCAGTCCAAAGGGACTAATGTCTGATGCTTATTAATTGCTGGTTCCCTTGACTCTTTCTCAGAGTCCCTTTAATTCCAGAGATTTTATTTTCAATGAATATGAACATAGAATCTTAACCTCCACTTTTACATCCATGTTTAAGCAGAAATATATGCATCTTTTCCATGTGCTGTGCACCGTTTTACTTTCCCCTCTTACCAGAAGTCCTGATGCTAAACAAGCCTTTTTTATCTACAGGGTACTTAGGGACATGCTGGGGTTACTCACCATGAACCAGCACAGACCATGTGTCTGCTGCGATGTCTGAGATCAAAACAGTCAGGAGACCAGACACTACTAGCAACAACCATCTACCTAACAGTCCATGGACATGAACAACAGGCACTTTATTTAATAAAATTTAATAGCACTGAAGTGCCTAATGAAATGTTGGGAAATGCCTAGTATTTCTTTTTAATTATAGAAGATGTCTAAGCATGCATTAAACGCCAGACTCAGTGACCCAAAACAGACATTAGCACTTAAAAAAGAGAAAAGAGTTCCTGATATATACACACAGCTAAGGAAGTTTTCCATCTAAGCATGTTGATATTATCTGATTGATTTTTTTTTCACATTGCATATGCTAGAAATAGCCAAAATGGTGAAAAAAATCATTAAAGATCATTTAAAAATCGTAAAATAATAACTTAGTCAAACACCAAATTCCTGGAGTTTCAAGGGGAGCATTGTAGGCATCGAGCATAGCATAACATGCTCTGAAAACAAATGCGTCTAGGGGTTTTCTTTGATTAATCTAAAAAAGTTTGGAGTTTGTCTAAGGCCAT